ACAAACTGAGACGTTACCAAGCTTTAGTTAGGTATAAAATGAAACACTGGCCGTAATTAGTGCAACTTGTTATCACAACTAATCCTATTGCTATTAACTGATAGAAACATTGTATTTCTAAGGATGCAATAAAGTTATTATAATTATTATAACCTCATACTTGTGATTTCAATTAGAAGAGCGCATTGAACTGTGGGAAAATCAATGTTTATCAACACAATTAATGTCAGACATGTGCAGCACGACAACCACCACCATTTAAGACCCATAAATGTTCAAAATGTTGCACCTAATTATAGCGGTGAAAACCATGAAAATTAAGCTGTCATTTGTATGTTGCTAATTCCGTCCACATTGCACTAAAAAAAATTACAACTATGCTATTTATAAGTTTTTGGAGTGCGATGAAATTTAATAGATTGCGCAGCCAAATGTCACATGTCATCAGTCATTTTTTTAGGCATACATGGGCCGTTTTTATTGGTCTACATTCTGATGATGTCTGAAAACAGGGACTTATGTTTTGAGTCATCACATTCAAACTTCAGACATGCATCATTTCACGATACGATTCAAAATGGCCGAATGTTAAAAATTCATCAAAATCTGCCATTACTGAACAGTATCTCTTGGCAAATACCTTGGACATTATGGAACCATTGTGCTAATCATTTTCAGGTCAGATCACCAACTGGTGGCCATTGTGTTTTAATGAATGTCATACTGGAGCCATATCTCTGACATATGCTCTGACCTTTTACGTTCAAACCTGTAATTCATTCGGTATATGTAATGCAGTTATTTGTCAAACATTGGTCAAACTTCAATGGTATTACAGTCAGTCAGTAGTTGTTTTTGACGATTACATGTACTGGTAAACCATCAAAACTTTAATAATCAGTATGTAAAGTTATTGTGTTGGGTACACTTTTTATAATGTATAGGCTTGCCCTTATATTATGTTGATTTATCTGATGTAATTAACATAATCAATATGAAAATAATTAAAATTGATGCGTTTGAATTATGTGGCGTATGTTTCTAAAGAAACTGTATTGACTCGCATGGTGTATGCTGGCATAACTACATTAAAGTCCATACAACACACATTTGACCCCTCCCCCTTCCCAATACACCATCAAATTTCAATAGTTAAGTCTACACTAAGTTGCTATATATATATATATATATATATAATTATTGATTATACATTGAATATTCAGTTTCATAAAATATGTACATTGTATACATGACATACATTTCGTACATGCACATGCACAGCATAATAATTACTTAATTTTCATGTTTTCAGTTTTCACTGCTAGAAAAATGTAGAAAGCTTAAAAGCACTACAAATTTTATCAAGTGAATGGTTTCATCTGATAAAAGACAAATAATAAATAGAACTTTCAGACTTCGCAATTGTTACCTTATTTTGGGAACCATTTTGAATTAGGAAATATATAAATCATACATATAAATAAGGCACGCAATTAAAAAAAGTAGTTTAAACTTTGAGCCTTGATTTATTCTTGCTTCTCATGGAGCAAATATTATATATTATATTATGCTTGGATGCAGTGGCAATGCATGTTATGAAATTTTATATAATATGTTTAAATCTAGAAAGAAATTGATAGGACAATTTCAGAAGTGGGTGTTCATCAAACAAACATCTCGGCTTGCTTCTCATCGAATTTTGATTACTTCACTTTTGCATGCATTTCCATGTCCCTGAGCTGGTGAAAACTCAACTACAACCGCATATACATAAATACTCGGCAATGCTTTTTGCTATGAGTTTCTGACCGGGATATCACAATTGTTGCACGACACATACTACTCTGTGCATCAAATGATACATTCAAACAAAATATATTTGATCATACAGCTTTATTCTTTTTTATTTTAATTTTTCATGAATCTTAATTTCTTACAAGTGTAATCTATCATTGATTTAGAATACGCATGTATATCGTACAACACCTTAGATATCGTTAGTTGCCTATACCCTTATCTTATTCTTGTACCTATGCGAGGCAATTAACGTGCATCAGCTGCAGGGTGCACTATCCACTTACAAAATTTGAATAAGTGGTGCCAGTATAAATCCAGACATCTGATATTTTATACAAAACAACTTTGTGTAATGTATTAATTTTAATACACAATATATATAATTTTATTGTATATATGACTGTGACACAAGCCCAAAGCCATGCATTAAGTGAATGTGATTTGTCATATTAGAGTCTGTACATATAAATACTTATATAATTGAATTCCAAACATGTATCAAATTTCATTCTTATTTTTGTAATTATAACATCGATAAACCTGGAAACATATCTTCTATTCTCCTTTTTTCAGTTCTGTCTCTGACCAACTTACATTCAATGTAGTAAACATGGTCTGAATAAGTGAATACTGGATTAATCACAAATATTAAAACTGTCAACTGCTCGTTGTCTTCAAAACATGACATCCTAGTTTTAATTCATTTACATGTAGTGTTGATAGCTGTAAATTTCTCATTTTAGTGAATACCAGTATTCTTGTTATTTTCAAAATGGCTATAGATCAATGTCTTTCTCCTAAATCATCTAAAACAGCAGCGCTATATTAGCTATGTAACTTTTTTTTAATTTTAGCCTAGATTGTCACAGGTTCCCATTTGCTACAGGTCATTTTGAAAAAAAAATATGTAGATTTATTTTTGAAAGTTGACTTTAGTTAAAAATTGATCATTGCTGAATATGTCTAATTTCTTTCAGAGATTTAAATGACTTGAGAGAAATGTTATTAGAAATGCATCGAAGTATAGACATCAAGCCATGGACAATTGAAGCGGTTCATGATAGTAAAGTAGACATAAATAAATCTCAGTCTTCAATGAGTGAAGTGGAATCATCAGCTGACGTATCAGTAAGTTACATTAATTAAGCCTTGTTCATGGATGACCCCTTAAGGTCACATGTATTCATGAAAGGTCACACTTTGATCATTATTCATGATCACAAATATGACATCCTCAAAGGTCACACACTACTCGCGACCGTAAAGGTCACACACTACTCGCAACCGCAAAAGTTACACATTACTCGCGACCGCACAGGTCACACTATTGAGACCACAAAGGTCACACACTACTCACGACTATAAAGGTCACCTCATTCAGTCAGTCAAACCATAAAGGCTTCAAGTTTGTAAGCATTAAATGTTTCAAAGCTTCAAGATGAAATGATATTTAACTGTTGACCCTCCTCCCTAGTTTTTATTTTGCCTGTACCATCAAAGATGAAGGGAAGGTATATTAAGGGAATGATTTTTGTCTGGCGTTGTCGTTGTCGTTGTCGTGGTTGTCAATTGTTATTGTGTGCACAATAACTTTACTAATTCTATTCCAAACTTCATCAAACTTGGTCACCTTATTCACCAGTATAAAGTCTTCCCTGAGTTTGACAACAGATGTCCTGTATGAAAATATCATGCAAAAATTGAGAAAATCTGATAAAATATTTTGACTGTTTCTACTTGACTGATCACTGGTGATTTGCATCAAAGGTCACTGATCTCAGTGGTAATATGCATTGTTGTACATGTTCAATGAAGCTAATAATATTCATGGTAATGTATCTCCCAAATCCCATGGGAATACTATACTGGGTTTCAAAACCAACTCATGGAGAGATTTTTTGCACAGTCTGATAAACATTTGCAAACCTACCAATAAAATCTTTACTCTTCATGTCAGAAAATCAATATAAGCATTCCTATGCACTGGGTGCCAAACTTTGATCAAGATCTGAAGCTAAACATTGCATCCACATTTTGAAAAGAAAATTGTACTAAAATATATGTATTCTGTATTTGACAAACAGTTCATTCGAGAAATGAAAATTCACAAGAATTTGCATGTTTCAGCTATTAGAACAGAATTATAGAGTTTTTATAATACTAATTTAAAAACGCACTTCAAAAACAAAGATTGCAGTGTTTGAAGATGCAGATTCTCAGGAGGCAACAGTACTGTTGACTTCTCTCTCCACTGGACACCAACTACCGTATTACCCCGGGCACACGCCCCTCCCTGGGCAAGCGCCCACCCCCCTGTTTTCACAAAAGTTACATGTTGGGGACATCCTCGGTTAAACACCCAGGGTGATTTTTAGCCAACAATTAGGTCAACAATAAAGTTGTATTTGTCAAAAACGAACGCGTTTGATTTATTTAAATAGTGTGTTCGTTATGGTAGTTCTCTTTTTAGCTCCGCTGTCGACTTTGTCGAGCGAAGCTTATCATATGAGTGATTGTCCGGCGTCGTCCTCCGACGTCCGTCGTCCGTGTCAATGTTTTACTTTTTTGACTTCTTCTTGAAAACTACAAGCCTGAATGCTTTGATACTTGGTGTATATGTACCTTGGGTAGACCTCTCTCAGATTTGTTCATTTTGTAATGATATCTTTAATTCTCTAATTTTGGTGAATATTTTTGTCATTTTTAGTAAAAAGTGATATTTCCGACTTCTTGTTAAAAACCGCAAGTCCAATTGCTTTGATATTACATATATAGGTACTACATGTGGAACTCTCTCAGATTTGTTCATTTTGTAAAGATATCTTCAATTCTCTAATTTTGGTAAATATTTTTGTCATTTTTGGTAAAAAGTGATATTTTCAACTTCTTGTTACGAACCGCAAGTCCAATTGCTTTGATATTACATACATAT